AAATATATCATAATATAACTGTTCGGAAAAAATAATATCATAATATTACTGTCCCAAACAGTAATATTACTGTCTGAGACAGTAATTTAGTAGCTAAAACAGTAATATTAATTAAAATATTTTTTTCTTCTAAGAAAAAAAAAATTCAAAAAAAAAAAAAAAGTCAACGCCAGAGACCGGCGGTCTCCGGCGGTAAACGCCGGAATCTGGCCGGAATCTGGACATTTCAGAAAAAAAATTATTTTCTGAAAAAAAAAAGTTTTGGGGGTTAATGTGATATATTTGTTTAAATCCGGGGTCAATGTGTAATATTAAGGAAGTTAGAGCATAATGGGTGGAATTGATAAGAATTATATTATTGAGGGTATTTTAGACTAAAGACATGGGGATGGGCTTAATTGAGAGACTGTTTTTTTTGTGGACCAAAATGCATTTAAGTCCCATGTGATGGGCCTTTTTGCCATTTGCCCATATATAAATTATAATTCCTATTCCAATCCAAACAAATTCAGAAAAATTAAAAATTCCGGAATGAAGATACTTGTTCTAATGTTGGAAAAGTTCGAATCAAAATCGACGGAGTTCACAAATTTCGTTCCGGCTTGCACCGTTACTAAATCACTCTATCAAAAAAAAAAAGTGATTATGAATTTAAAATATACGTCCTAAATCTAACTTCTTTCATCGAAATGGAGACTAGATTTTAGTACTTGATAAAAGAGAACACTCTTAGGTTACGTTTACTATAAATATCTTCAAAAAGCCGTTTACCATCTATCACCCAGGTGGTGTTCACAAAAACTTATTTAAAAACATAACTTATGGATTGTGAATTAAGTTAGTTTTAAGTGCTTATTTATAAAAGTTGAGGGTGTTTGCAAATTTACGGGGCAAAAAAAAATCTTAAATAGAAAAATAAAAAAATAAAAAGCTTCTAAAAAAATTAAAATTAAAGCACAAAAAAGAAAAAAGGAAAAGGTGGTGACTAAAATGGGATTTTGTTTTTCAGGCGTAGAGAATACACACGCAGACATATATGAGCACCATTCAAACTCAAAACCCAAAACAAATGCCTTTTTATCCACAATCAACTTCAGCCGCAGAAATTCAATTTAATTATATTTTTCCTAAATTAATTAGTAACCTTTTTATTTTTCAGATGGAGTTCAGAATGTGACTTCTGCTAACTCTAGTACCAAAAAGCATACCATAAAAGAACAAAATGAAAAAGAAGAGAACTTTTTTTCTGAAAGCCCATGGGCTAGTGGAAAGTGGAAAGAGACTATATATATATATATATATATATATATATATATATATATATATATATATATATATATATATATAATAATAATAATAATATTAATAATTAATAATATCAACAACACTGGGTGAAATTTGACCGAATAGATCGGAAATGACTTTTTTCAGAAAATTTGCAAAAAAAATTTGGAAGTAAAAAATGGTTTACAATTATCGTTCCAAAAAAATCACAATGCAAAAATTCATTCCGATTATGGACTGCCTTAGAATCGGCGGAATTTCGGAAATTGCATTAACTTATAATCTTGTTCCCAATTCAAATATAATGGAAATTTTCACAATATTTTTTTTTCTTCTACTTTTGCAAGAAAATGCAAGAAAATCTATTAAATAGTTCGACAAAACACAATAAAGAAAAACATACGTAGGAACAACAAATGCAACATAAAATTTACGATACCAATTAATTTTTTATAATGTTTTAATTTGCTGGATCTTTCGGTATTTATATTTTTCTTATAAAATTTAACATATGGAATTACAAAATATATCATATAGATTTCGAAAAATCATACAAATATTCAAAACTAAAATCGGATCAGAAATCGAAATTTCCGGCAATTTTATATATCAATCCAATTCCATTCCAAATAAATTCGGAAGAATACAGTTTCTAATTTGGATATTTTCGGATCGAAGTTGGCAGAATTTGAAAATTCCACTATGATTTACACCCCTAGACAACCTAATAACAATAACAATAACAATAAGCAAGAGCTAGGGGTCTTTTTGTTTTTGTTTTTTTAATGAGGAAATCGTGCAGTAGTTTGCAAACTATATGAAATAAGTAAACCATATATTATAAGTTATCTGCGAGAAACTCAAGTAGTGTTGGCGATGGGGATTTCCACATGATTAATTAGAATTTGCTATACTTATCCGAGACGTGTCCGAGAGGGACTATATGAAAAATAAAATTTCGAAAAAAAAAGAGAAAAAAATCGCTATCGGAGCTCTCAACTCTCACCTCGTGACCTAAAAATGGCAAATTATATCAAATATTGAACCCTTGTAAATTGGCGCGAAATGAGTGACAGAGAAGAGAATAAGTGTTGGCCCTTAGACCATGTGATTTCAAATTAGGGTTTCGCCATATTGCGACACCAATTATTTTGATAACACACAATACAATTCACTTGGTCTTTAATATCTAGGATTTTTAGAGTATCTCGAATGCTAATATCGAAGAAACCTTTAAAAAAAATCATAGGTGTTAAAGTACCAAATGTGAATCTAAAATTTTTATTCGTATTATTTGGTAAGATTGAAATTTTCTACTGCAAAGTCTTCTCCAATGCAACAATCAAGACTAAAAAAAAAAATGTTTAGGTGTAATTTATTATTGGGTTTTAAAATTAAAATTAAAACTATTAATTTATTAAGAAAAAAAAAACCTTATTCCGCCAAAAAGAGAAAAAATTACATTCCCGTTTTCATTCCTGGTTTAATATAATACTAGTAGCGCTTATTCGAATTTATTTTATGAGAGAGAGAAAAAGAAATAGATAGATCTTTTTGTGAACATTCATTAGTTAAATATTTTAACGAACTTATTTTAAGTTGACATTTTTCATTTTCGTTAAACCATGAAAATGTATTGTATACAAACTAGCAATTCCTATAGATCATGCGTATGGTTAATTTATTTTAGGTCAGAGGAATCACATGAATTCAATTGATTAAAGTTTGAGAAAATTATTTTTAAAACAAATGAAGTAATTAATTAGTGTTTTTACCTGAAAGTCGAATCTCCAGAGAACAGATAACTCAAATAAAATAGTGTAGAAGAAGGTAGAATAAGAGTAGAGCTATGGTGAAATCCATTTACGGTTTGAAAATAATTTACTTATCTTATTTTTTTTAATAGAAAATAAAAGAAAAATAAATGATGAGTTGACACTTTAGAGATCATTAAGATGACACATCAATTCAGAGTGTCATCTTAAGAATCTCTAAAATCACAGTGCCACATTATTGCCACATTCTTAGATTTTTCTTTAGAAATTGAATTTAGCATTGGAGATGATCGTAAGCTTGTTTTTTTGAGTTTGAGGGAGAAATCCTATATTTTTTTTTTGTTCTTGTTTATGAGTTTGAATTTTGAGTTTTAAAAAGCACCATTGTTTTCACGCAGTTTGATTTTCTGCAGTTACAGACCAAAACTTGTGAATCTTTTTGGTACCAAAAAGTTACCAAAATTTATGCACTGATAATTTGCTAAATTTTCTGTACGGAAACATTATCAAAAATTTTGTACCGAGATTTAGGAGCATTTTATGTGTCGAAATCCTGACCGGGTACATTTTTTGATTGTTTACTGTGTGGGCTTTCAATGGCGAGAAGGATAACCGACATAAATGACAAATACAAGAAGTTAATGAGCATTCGACGGCAAAAATACTTCGGGGAGAAGGCGTACTGCAGTTTTCTCTTATTCACTTTTCTTTCTTTTGCGGAACAAAATTTTGGCGGGGAAAGAGGGTGTGGATGGGACATAATTTTGGGAGTTGGAGTGTGGAGAAAATTTGTGTTTTTCCTGTTTTTTTCCCTAGTGTTTTGAAAAATTGAGTAAGGTAGAAAAGGCAATATATATTAAATTTGATGGTGTAAAAAGAGTGGTGGGGTGCAATGAAGAAAAAATTGAAGTCAGCCATAATATATGATATTTTGTTCTTATAATAAAGAAGCAAAAACCAATTTGAAAACCAATATTGGGTATGCCATATTTAATTTGGTGTTATGGGAGATGAAATAAAGTCTCTTTTAGGGTGCTTGTTTGATGAAAAGCCACCTTCACCCAAAAGGTGTCTTTTTTGTTATAGATGTTGTGGACACATTTTAAGGTTGTTTTAATGTCCGTACATTTTTGCTTGGGATGAATATCTACTTGCGACGATATTTCTATACGACATCCAGTAAAGTAGCATTGTGTGAATTTTTACCATTGATTTACACATCAATATAAAATGTTTGTATGTTTGCGTGCTTATGAATAGTAAATATATACTCTGGTGTATTTTCATCCAGTGTAGCATAATATAAACCCTATTAGCGAGACTGACGGCAACATTCAACAATGAATGGAATATATAATAAAAGTTTACTAGGACCATACAATTTTTACATAATCTCTACATAAAATACTATATTTTTTAGAATGATTGGGGGCACAACTTTATAAAAACATAACCACGAATACATATCAAGAAAATCCACAAGATGAATATCATCCAAACAAAAACAATTTTAGCATAATCAAAGAGATAATCATCGCATCACAATTTCTATCCAAATTAATAATAATTATTATAATAATAACAATAATATAATAATTATAATAAAATAATAATAAACAACATCACAATTCACACCTACTGCCAATTGCCATGCAGATGCTACCACCCCTACTCATATTAATGAGAGAGATTCAAAATTCCAATGCAAAAATAAGGAAAAGTCATTTTCAAGTAAATAAGATTGATTGATTTCAAGTTCAACATAGGGATTGATGAAATATGTATCTAAAAATAAAATTATGACCCCAATTTATAATAAAAATTAAAAAGAAACAAACAACACAATTATCAACCCAAAACCCAAACCCGAAATATAACCTAAACGGATCCAAATACCCGACCCGACCCGTTTTCATTTTTTTTCCTTTTTTCCAGCTTTTCACTCTGACCTATTCGCATACCTCTCCACCTTTGCATCGTTGAGATTGATTCCAACCATGGCTTCCCCGAGGCCGCAGCTCACGTCAACCAGCACCTGCGGGTCACTGTAGTGGGTCACAGCCTGGACTATGGCCCGGGCCCGTCGGGCCGGGTCGCCGCTCTTGAAAACACCCGACCCGACGAACACGCCGTCGCAGCCCAGCTGCATCATCAGCGCCGCGTCGGCCGGCGTCGCCACCCCTCCGGCGGCGAAGTGGACCACCGGGAGCCTCCCCAGCTGCTTCGTCTGCATCACCAGATCGTAGGGCGCCTGGATCTTCTTCGCGAAGGTGAACACCTCGTCGTCGTCCATGTTCCGGAGAACCCGGATGTCACCCATCACCGACCTGACGTGGCGCACCGCCTCGATGATGTTCCCGGTGCCGGCCTCCCCCTTGGTCCGGATCATGGCGGCGCCCTCCCGGATGCGGCGGAGCGCCTCCCCGAGGTTGCGGCAGCCGCAGACGAAGGGGATGCGGAAGTTGTGCTTGTTGATGTGGTTCTCGTCGTCGGCGAGTGTCAGCACCTCCGACTCGTCGACGTAGTCGATTCCGATGGCCTCCAGGATTTGGGCCTCCACGAAGTGCCCGATTCGGGCCTTCGCCATCACGGGTATGGTCACCGCCTGCTTGATTTCCTTGATGAGCTGCGGGTCGGACATGCGGGCCACGCCGCCCTGCGCGCGGATGTCGGCCGGGACGCGCTCCAGGGCCATGACGGCGCACGCGCCGGCCTCCTCGGCGATTCGGGCCTGCTCGGCGTTGACGACGTCCATGATTACGCCGCCGCGGAGCATCTGGGCCAGGCCGACCTTGACGGAGAAGGGGGATTGCTTCGTGGTCTCGGTGATTGCGCCGTTGCCGTACACGGTGACGACTCCACTTCCGGCCATTATTTTTTGTGATTAACTGATTGATGATTTCTGGAGAGTGGGTTAGAGAGAGAAAATGGGAAATTGTAGAGAGAGAGAGAGAGAGAGAGGAAGGGATAGGGGAAGAATGGGTGGGAGTGAAGGGTTAAGTAAGGGGCGAGTGAGGAGGTGGAGATTGTGACTCAAGTGGCTAAGGCAATACAACCCTTACTATTTTTATTTTTTCTTTATTTATTTATGAGTAAATTACGAAAATGCCCATGAACTTTAGGATACATAACGAAATACGCCCCCCACCTATCCGTAATAACTAAAATCCCCCTCTGATTGATTGTTCATCGAGTTTTTTTAACAGAAAATGTGTACATTCTATTATACCTTCTATTAAATAGGTGATAAATAAAATGGAACATCTTAAAAAAATATATATATATATGTGTGAAAAGTCGCACTGTAATGGGTTGGTGTAAGACGTAAACAAACCTCAGGTGGGGGTCTTTTTTTTAATTTAGCCTAAGGTTTGGAGGGTTTTTGTAATTTAACCTTTATTTATTTTGGAAAAAAATTATTTATTATTGCCTTAAAAATACTTGCTATGTATGTGTGATGATTTTTGTTTAGGAATTTTATTTATGTGATGACCTTTATTGGATTTTTCATGGCTAAAGTGCTACCACCAAGGTGCAAAAAAACAAAACAAGATTTGCAAGGCTGAAAGTGGCAACGTCGGTTTAAAATGTTATTAGCAATGATTAATTAGAGATTCTCCTGATTATTTTTTATTTTTAATAATATAAATAATTGTTGATATTTATTAGGAAAATATGTATTCATGCATTCATCAAGGCAGGTCATCTGAAGCTATTTCGTGGTTTAGGTTAAAGGGGGTTATGATTTATGCTGAGTTTTTTTTTTTTTTCAATTACTAGAATCTTAATTATATTTTTATTTAAACTATCCACGTGTTAATTATTCTATGACATTCGATTTTCCTATTAAAACATGACATCTGGTCTAGATTTGCACTCTTAAAATATTTAACATCAATAAATAAATAATCTCTTTTAAATAATATTTTTTTTCGAACTCGACTTGGGACAATGTGCTAAGTTAATGATTCGTTAAATTTATAGGGATTATTAGTGAGAACCATACAACACATTTGGGAATACTACCATGGATAAAACCCCTTTTTAAATATTAGTGAAACCCCCTTAATCATTCAATCAAATCAATTTTCTTAAAGGTGCTATGCAATATACATAATCTGTCATTAATGCTATATTATTTCGAGATTTGGCTTTGATCAGGACAGATTTACATGGCCCAATAAAGCAAGGCCCAACAGAGTTGGCCCACGTCCGAAGAAGGAAATAAGACCACATGGGACCCGGGCTTATTTGCCTATTTCATCGGATCTTTATAAATGGCCCAAAACATTGAGCCCACAAATCTAAGGCCCAAAGAAAGAATATAATGCATTGTCAGTAGAGACGAACTACGAGACCCTCGATGAGCTGGAGACCTAACTCTTCGACGAGTTGGAGATCTCTAAACGAGCTAAAGATAGCTCATGAGTGCCAAGTGCCAAGTGCCGAGCCCCGAGCGACGAGCCAACGAGGGCCGAGCTTCGATCGAGTCGACGAGCCGACAAGCACCGAACGCTGAGCACCGGGTGACGAATCCCGAGAGACGAGCCGACGAGCTGAAAATGCCACCTCATACTTAGACACTAAGAATAGAAAGTATCTTTATAACTTAACCACTAAGACTTATTGTCATGGACTTGAAACAATTCCTTGATCGAATTGGATGAAAGCAATGGGATCCGGAAAGCCTCTCCTATAAATAGAGGGTTCATAAACCTCAAGGTAAGTATTCTTGATCTCGACACATCATTTTCTCGAATATAATTATCTCCGAATCTTTGAGGTGTTCTAACTTCGGCGTCGGAGTGCTAACGCCGGGAGCACCTCTCCCCGTCCCTTTTGTAGGTCCGCGACGAACATGCCTAATATGGAACGGATTTGAAGATTCGAGATTCCCCGAAACGGAAAAACCCAACCGCATCAGGCCTAATTATCTTTCGCCATTCATACACAACCCACCTTCTCTTTTCTCAAATTTTCTGGCATTCTCTCCATCGCCCATTTCTTCTTTTTTCTCTCTGTCTTGTTGACTAAAATCCATGGCGGAGCAAGAACTACCATCCACCATTGCTGCCACCATCCACCCCTAAAAATCATAGCAGGGGCCGGCGACTTTGGGAACAGCCTTAAGAACGCGCTCGTGGAGAAGCTCCATTCCCTCAACATTGAAGTCGAAGACCTCGACACCACCAATACTACTCCGTTGGCGAAGAAATCGGCCGTCACGTCAACAAAGCAGCGTAAATTGACTCCTTCGTCGAAATTTGTGGCCTCGTCGCCCGCCGCACCGATGTCTACACCAACCCTCACCACCAGCGACGCCCTAAACGCCAAATCCATCGTCAACTGCAACGTCCTCATAGTTTCCGGCATGTCCACCGCCGTGAAAGTCGCGACAGAGATCCTTACCACCTTCCTTGACATATCATTTAAATCCCCCAGTCTTGATTACAATAGATTCTCGGAATGGGGGTTTTTGTTTTATAATTTTTAGTTGATTTCGATTTTTTATAATTGGTTTCGATAAATTTGTAGTTGATTTCGACAATTTGTTATAGTTTGTTTTTTGTTAATTTGTAATTGATTTTATATTTAGTAAACCTGCTGTTTTGAAAACAACTATTTTTGTTAGTTGTTTTACAATTTTTTTATAGTTGATTCTAGGGAAAAAATGAAAAAAAAAAGTTTATTTTAAAAAAACGGAAAGTAAGAACAAACTGAAATTAAAAAAAAAAGAAAAAAAAAAGAGAGAAAATACTAAACTGTAGTTGATTTTGGAAATATTATAGTTAGATTTTATAAATATTATAGTGGATTTCAGAAATTTTGTAGTTGATTTTGAAGAAAAAAAAAAAACTGAAAAAAATGAATTAAAATATGTTTTTTGAAAAAAAAAAAAAGATTATTATTATTTTTAAAATATTTTTCTAGTATTTTTAAATAAATAAATAAATTAACAAAAAAAATTGGAAAAAAAAAGGAAAAAGACAAAGTAGTGGGTAATGAATTGATGGATGGTAAATTTGGGAATAAAGGAAGACGTCTCTCACTAATAAAAGAAAAGAGGCTGAACACATATTTAATAAAATAATGCTCGTGGGAGTTCTCACTAATAATTCCTATAAAATAATACATATCTTAATATTCTTATAGACACCATCTAATATATAAATTAATAAAATAATACATATGTTAATATTCTTATAGACACCATCTAATATATAAATTAATAATATATAGATTAAGTTTTGAAATACATGATAGTTTACATTTATGACAAATCTACAAAGACTTACAATACATAATTTGATTTTTTTTAAAGTTGACGGTATCATATACAATCTAATTCCTCAATTTTCTTAATACAGTAATAACTTCCGGTGTACTTTTGTCATTGTTTAATAATGTTGTTCTAACAGCTTCCGTCCAAGAAACGGGCTTCATAGTATCTTTTTTAGTTTCTTCTTCTTTCTCATTTCCCATGATGCTCTAAATTATTTATTCATCAGTCAACAGAAGTAACATTGTTTTGTTCAAGGTAGTTTAAAGGATATCCAACATCCATTTTGTTATGACAATTCAACTCATTGAGTAGATTTTGTAGTACTTGGATAATTTCACCATCTGACGGTTCGTTCATATTTTTTTTAATATTTATTGAAAATAATAATAATAATAATAATTTTATAAATTAATAAGTTATTAGTTAATATATAAATTATTAATTATTTATTTACTGATAATTAAATTATTGCTAAATTTTATAATTATGTTGGTCTAGGGGTGGAAATTGGAACGAAATTTTCGAATTCCGCCAATTTCGATCCGAAAATATCCGAATTTGAAACGCTTTTTTTCAATCCAATTTCCGATTTTTCCGATTATTTTTTGAACGGAATTGGTTTACATATAAAATTATTGGAAATTCTGATTTCCGATCATATTGTATTTCCGAAATAATATATATATATATATATATATATATATATATATATATATATATATATATATTATTTTTGAATTATTTTTCTATTCATGTTTTGCAAGAACTATGGTTGCTTTGTTACACCGATTATCTTGTTTTTACAAGTGTTTACATTTCATCTTGTTGACCTTTGCTTTGGATTCTTGCCTTTTGCCAGAAAATTACGAAATATAAAAAAAAATACTAAAAATTACCATTATTTCCGATTTTGGAACAAAAAATTAAGAATTAATGCAATTTCCGAAAATTCCGAAATTCCGCCGATTCTGAGGTATTCCAAAATTGGAATAGATTTTGAAATTCCGATTTTTTTGGAACGAAAATTGGAAACTATTTTTCACTTCCAAAAAAAATTGGAAAATTTCCGAAAGAGGCATTTCCGATCCATTCCGTCCAATTTCTACCCCTACTAATAAGTAATAACGATTATGTTATTTATTGTTTATGATGAACTTATTTGTGGGCTGAAAGGCCTAAATTTAAATTAAATTTCATAAATTGGGCCTTTTCTTGAATAAAATGAAAATATATGGGAATGGAGCAAGTAACCTCAGGTTTGAGCTTGGGAGTAAGCAATATTTTTTTACGTAGGCCCATCATTCATACATGTGTTTGGTTGCTATAATTTGATTATTTTCAATATTATAACTTGTTATATTATTGGAATGAAAAGAATTGTGTACCGCGTAACAACTTATCTAGCAACAAATATTATGAAGGACACTTTACAAATAAGCCCATGGGTACTTATTCATAAATGGGTTCAGATAAAAAACATTTTACAAAAAATCCATACATA